GCCGGGCGCCCGCCCCCGCCGCCTCCGCCCCGGGGAAGACGGCCGCGCCGGGAAGCTGCCACCGGGGAGCAGGGGAGAGGTGAGAGGGGGCCCGGCCCTTGCGCGGCGGCCGAGGGAGGGCGGACCCCGGGTAACCGCCCGCCGCTGGCCGGCCTCCTCCGCGGAGCGTGGGCAGAGGCTCCGCCTTCCCTAGGGCGTCGAAGATTCTGGAGGGAAAGGAGGCCTGGCGCCTGGGCTGGAGCTTCCCCTCCGCTGGCCCCGCGCTCCTCTGCCTGAGGGGAACAGGTTTGGGGGAGTCCGCACCCCGGGCACTGCCCGCACCTCCGCGGGTAAGTCGGGAAGGCCGTGTGCCGGCCAGGCCTCGGGCTTCCGAGTGGGAACGGCCGTCGATGACCGCCTTGAACTGCGCCTCGAACCTGCCACGTTTCCCAGTGACACCTCGAGCCTCCCTTCCGTCCTCCGGGCCCCATGGTCAGTGTGTGACCGTCCATCTGGCGTAGGGTCACAGTAAAATGAAGAGTCACAGGCAGTACACGCCCCCTCCTCGCCTCCTGCGCCGCTGGACTTCCTAAACCAGATTGGCTGGAAGAGTCCAAAGACCTTCCTTCCCTGCTTCCGGAAGCCCTCCACCTCCTCCTCAGTGATCACAGGGTTCAGGAGTGTTAGGAAAACTGGACCCAAACCACTAAACTTTTTTGCTTACACTCAAGACTGTTTTTAGCTAAGACTTAAAAACGCTAAGATTTTTTAAAGCTAGGATTTAAACGAATCCTGTAATCGTTATCATTATGAATTCATTAATTGTGGAAAAGGTTGAATAACCTTCCTCCAAGCACCTGATTTTGAAAAAGGTAGAATTTATAAACCTGATCGCTGAGTATTAACATAGCTACTTCAATTTTGTTTCAAAGGAACTTTCAGCCTAAAGAGGGGACTCAATTTATACTTTTCTTTATTACCAAACTAATAAAATACTCACTTTGATGATATTCCTAATATGAAAACATAGTTTTTTTTAAAAAAAAAAAAAGTAAAATAGGTTGGTTAATATTAAAAACAGCTCCCTTCAAATAAGTTTTTTTTTTTGGGGGGGGGAGTGGGAGAGATTTTTGCTATATGGCATGTGCAGTCACCAAAGAGACAGAGAGACAGAAATCATCCCCCAGGGGATAGTTACGCCACAATCCCTTCTCCTCCATTCTCCTCCCATCTTGGCACAGGCACCCAGCATGCGTTTGAGGTCACTGGGTCTGGGACTCGAACCACGGTCGGCCATGTTGAAGTCCAGTGATGTAACCACTCCATCTGCTGGCCCCTTCAAATCAGTTTTTAAGTATGGCCAGGGAACAGTATATGTATGGCTTTTTAGAGAATTGGGAGACATATCTGCAATCTGATTCTGTTCTTAGTCAGGGAAACTAGGTTTGAATTCATTGGAAATTTATACTGGAGAGGAATATGTATGTCACAAAATTCTTAGAATATTCCTCACTGAAATTTCATAGACGTGTGGAATCTTGAGGCCAAGAAGAATCATTCGCTGTGGCGTTCAACGAAGTAGACCCTCTTCCCCACCTCTTTCCTACTCCCTTCTCTTTTGCTCCTCCCTACTTCATAAGGCTTCTCATATTGATCTGTAAAGCAGAGATTTGGCACAAAGCATTATCACCAGAGACTTGAAACAGAAGCATGCATGACCATGAGTGGATTTTAAATTCAGAAGCAGTTCCAAGGTGAGCAGCAGAAGCCAGACCGCTATTTTAGAAACACCCACCTTGCCCACATTGTATTATCACTCTCGTTCCTGCCCTCCCCTCCCCATCTGACTGCTGAGGAAAAATCCATGGCTTCAAATGGCCATCTGGTTGAGTAGGCCCACAGAGCTGAGATCCACGAATTACACATTGTGTTATGTGGATATTTCCATACAGTTATTTCTGTTTCTTGTTCATCCTGGTCAGTTTCTCAAACTTGCTGGGTAGCGTGAATTTAAAGCTAACACGGAGAATGTTTGCCTAAACTGAGATAACCTCCCATCCCGTTGGACTGACTCAGATGGCCTGTTGCCTTGGTTTCATCTAACAAAGCCTTGATGTATTTAAATGAGAAATTAACACCTAGCACCATTATGCTCCTTAATATTTATTTTGTAGTAAAAACAATGTAATGGAGAGTTTATGGGTAGAAAGGAAACTTTTGTAGACAATTTGTGAAGTCCTTTATTTGATAGGCAATTGTGAAGTCAGAGGTCACCTAGCAAGTAATTCAGATGATGTGATTTCCTGCCTCTTTAGACAAAGTTATTTCATGCCTCCTGACTTAGAAGCCTCCTTAAAATAACACCACATTGAAGTCATGATTGATTAGCTGACTTTTCTGTTACTTTTATAATCAAAACATACCTCCATATGGACTCTGGGATGTCCTCCTTTAGTGACCATCAACGTATTTTCGTTATGAATCCTTACGTACTCTGCCTGATTAATATTCAGACAGACTTCTCTTTCCAACAGTAGCAGCAGGAGTTCATCTTTCTGTTTTAACACCATCGTTTTCTGAAAAGGGTGGGAACATAACTTCATTCTATGCAGGTACAAATTCATCTGTAAAGTTCAAAGTGCTCTTTTAAAATGTGGTCCCATAAATGACCATTCAAAAGCACAGAATCAAAGTGTAGGTTTTGCACTGAGATGTGGAATGACATATTTAGTTTCGTATTCTGACTCTCCGAAGATCAACTTTCTGTACTTGAGAGAAAGTAACCCCTGAGGGACCAGAGCAGGTTTGGTCTGTTGCTCAGGATGAGATGAAAACCTGCAGGAGATTTCGTAACTACCAGACTAGACACTGGGTCACCATGAGTCAGGGACAAGCTGACACTGCCAAGGTGTACACCACTGAATAAACTGGAGGAGGGAAGGGAAGCCTCAGAACATAGACACCTGAGGGCTGGGATGGGTCTATCTTGCTTTGCTATTCCCCAGAGCAGAAAGCAGCCCTAGTCACCCAGGAATCATTGAAAAATACATGTAAAAAACAAATAAAAGAGCGCCACCAGACATTGGTGTGGACACTTTAGTGACCCTACAGATGAGATCGTTATTATTATTATTTTAGGTTTTTGCCACAGGGCGAGTGCACTTGCCAGAGAGAGACAGTGAGAGAAAAGTTGAAAAATCACCCTCTAGGGAGATGTCCATGCCACAGTCCCTTCTCCTCCATTCTCTTCTTGGAATTTGGGACACCCATGCACACATGTCTGGCATGATTTTCAAGCCACTGGGTCTGGGACTCAAACAGGAGAGTCAGCCATGTAGGAGTCCGGCACCTTAATCACCACGCCACCTGCTGGCCCCATGAGTCTCACTATTGATAGTGCCATTTTATTATGTTGTAAACTTAAATATTTTGGTCATAAATTTAGACCCACCAATCAAAAATAACTTTTTTTTTTTTTTTTTTTTTTTAGTTTTTGCCATACACTCACCAGAAAGAGAGAATGAGAGAGAAATTGAAAAATCAACCCTCAGTGGGGATGCCCATTCTTCAGTCCCTTCTCCATTCTCTTGGGATTTGGGGCACGCATGCACACGCACCCAGAGTAATTTTCAACCTGCTGGGTCCAGGACTTGAAGCATGGTCGACCCTGTGGATGTCCAGTGCCTTAAATACCATGCCATCTGTTGGCCCCTCTTTTTTTTTTTTTTTTTTTTTAAGACAGGGTTTCTGGCTGAGGACCTCCTGCCTCTGCCTCCTGGCTGGGCCCACAGAAATGCACCACTATCCTAACTCTTTAAGACAGGGTCCTGCTACATCACTCAGGCCAGCCTGGAGCTTGTGAAGCTCCTGCCTCAGCCTCTAAAGTCGCTGGAATTATAAGCATGTGCCACCAAGGTAGGTCTTTTTGGTGGGGATTGAACCCAGGCCTCCCATGTGGTTCCAGCCTGCGTTTAGCAGCGCATGACACTGCAGCAGGGTCAGGGCCAAACTTGCTGAGAGAGTTGTCTCTGCTTCTTTCCCTCCCGTGCGCCCAACCTACTGCAATCCGTCTTCAGCCCCATGACTCCGCCACATGCTCTCACTGAGGTTATTAACAGCCGCCTTCCTGAAGCACTCTCAGCTCAGCATCTGTGAAGCCACCCCACCCGGTCTCCCTTCTGCCTCTCTGGCGTCTTTGCAGGGTTTCTCTTTGGCTACCTTCTCCTCAGCTTTGTCCTCTGTCTTCTTTCTCTCTTCATGACCCAGTCTACCTTCAACTTCAGTTGTCACCAGAATGCCAGCAAGGCCTGAAGCTCTACCTTCTTCATTACCTGCAGAGCCCCACATCTTAATGTTCATGTCTCCATTTGCTACACCCCAGATGCTTCACACCCACGTTACTTTCTCACAAACCTGCGCCGCCTCCTGTGCTTCCTGAAGGGGATGTTGGCTCCGACTAGCTTGCCGCCCAAGCCCATGACCTGGGCAGCCTCTCAGCACTTCCCTCTCTGGGCCTGTTCCTGTCGTCACCCAGTCCTGATGGATTTCCCTCCTGGGTACCCCTCAGCTCCATCCTGGTGGGTAGTGTGTGCATTGCCATGAGACTCTCTGGGATCAAATCCCAATTTATGAGCTCTGCAGCTACAGGCAAGTTACTTAACCTCTCTGTGTGTCAGTTTCTTCTCCCGCAAGATAAATATGTAGTGCCTGCCTCATGGTATTGTGAAAACTGAGTGAGTTCACATGTGTCCATGCTCAGAACAGTACCTAGTGCTTCCAGAGGCTCAGTAAATGGACGCTGTGATCCCATTTTAAAAAGTGAGGAAACATCCTTTAAAAAAGCAGTGGTGATGGGGGCGGGGGAGGGCTGGCCATGCCACAGTCACTTCTCCTCCATTCTCCTGTTGGGATTTTGGGCTCGTGTGCCCATGGATCCAGCATGTTTTTCAAGCCATCAGGTCTGGGACTAGAACCACACAGTTAGCCATGTGAGATCCAGCTGTCTTAGTCACCATGCCACCAACTGGCCCTAGGGGGACCTTTTAAAATCCCAAATCTCAGGGACCAGCAGATGACAATGGTTACATTGCTGAACTCCTTTGTAGTTGACCACAGTTCAAGTTCCAAACTTGGCAACTTAAAATTCATGCTGTGCATGTGTGCATGCATGCCCAAAATCCTGAGAGGAGAATGGAGAAGGGATTGCAGCATGGCCATCTCCCGTGGAGGTGATTTCTCACTTTCTGTCTCTCTGTCTCTCTGGTAAGTGCACACACCCAATAGCAAAAAAAAAAAAAAAAAAGGAAGAAAAGAGAAAAACCCAAATCTCACTATTGATTGGAGTGGAACCTTTGTAGTGGCTTTATATGATACTTTGAGTCACGAACTTCAAGGCCATGAGATGTCCCCCCACCCAGCATCCAGCCCTTACAGTGCTGTTCTGCCCTCTCTGCTCCAGCCGCCGCACTGGGCCCTGTTCCTCATCTGTACCTGCCCCTTCATGCCTCGAAGCCTCTGTACCACTGTCCTCTCTAACCGAGACAGTCTCTGTCCCGCTTCTTGCCTATGTCACTCCTTATCAGACCCAGTGGCATTTCCTGAGGAAAACATGACCCCTCCAGACTGGGTTATAATACCCCATTATAACACCCAACTCCATGCTTCTGCTCAGTTGCATTTATCACACTTAGCGTTCACTTGCTCAGGGTCATTCTTTGACCCCAGCACCAGGGCAGGCGCTCCTGTCCTGCTGACTGCTGGTCCCCAGGGCCTCACACAGCACCCATCTTGGGGGGGCGGGGAGGTGTCCAAGGTTACAGAGTAAATTCAAGCAACCAGGGGCTTCTAACTTTGGTCATTGCTGACTTAGCTAGGTGCTCAGGTTTTCTTTTGTGTCATGTTAGAGAACAGCTTTTGAATCAGGTGTCTGTCTGTCTGACTCTCTGTGAATGACCAGGGCCGGCTCACAGAAGCCAGCTGATAAATGCAGATGCATTATTTATGCCTGGGACAGGAGGGCTGTAAAGGCATCGGCACCAACACAAGAAGTCCCGTCAGTCCAAAAGGAGCATCTGTGCCTTTCAAACAATAGCTATTAGATTAATAAGGGAATAAAAACAATTATGCTAAAATAGGTCCAAATATGGCAAAGCAACAAAGCAGTCTATTACAGCACATTTGTTTATCTTTTACATGCAGGCCGGGGATTAGAAATCATGTTGCATGAAGCAAAGGACAGGCAGAAGTTTGTCAGTGACGTTCAATATCTTCGGGACATGCAGCATAAGGTGGACTCTGAATATCAGGTAAATACAGACTGTAAGAAACACCAGGTCAGCCCATAACCTAGTCAATAAGGGAACTGGGTCCCACAAGACTGACCACAGTTGGAATCCCAGCCCCAGTGGCTTGATGATCACCCTGGGTACATGTGCACGCATGCCAAAACTTCCTACAGGATGAAGAGATGGGGGAGAAGGGACTGTGCCACGACTGCACCCCACTGGGGAGGGTGCTTTCTTCCTCTCTTTCTGGCTGTCTCTGGCAGGTACACCCACTCTCTGGCACCTTCCACTTTCTCCTACAGTATTCAAGTGAATTTAGAACACAGTATCAGTATGTGATAAGCAGTAATAGTTTTCTAAGATCCTAAATCCACCACTATCTATGCGACCATGGAAAGCTGCTTCACCTTTCTGAGTCTCAGTTTCCTCATTTGTAAAATGAGGATAACATTGTGAGTTTTCACCTCACAATATTGTCATGAAAGTGAAATGAGATAAACATTTTATTTATTGATTTATTTTAGAGAGATTTTTGCTATAGGGCACATGTGCTCACCAGAGAGACAGAAAGCCAGAAATCATCACCACCACCCCACCCCCCCTGGGAGGAATGGCCACGCTGCAATCCCGTCTCCTCTATTCTCCTCTTGGAATTTGGGGCATGCACGCACACACAGTCAGCATGAGTTCAAGCCACTGGGTCCAGGACTTGAACTGCAGTCAACTACGTGGGTATCCAGCGATGTATCCATTACACCATCTGCTGGTCCTGGGATGAACATTTTAAAAGTAGTCAGCACAGCATTTGGCACACAGCCCTGGCCAATGAATGATATTAAGGCTTCAATTTGACCAACTGAGAAGGAAAAAGCCATTAAGGAGTTAACTGGGTCGCCCTGCCAGTTATAAAATAACATGCCCTTCTGTTGTCATCCCTGCCAGAAGAAAGGTGGTTAGCACATTCTACAATAAGCTGCCTATTCGTCACCCTAGTTACAGTGTTTACATGCAAAAACAAAACAGACAGGGAGCCCGAGGAGTCGTGATGCAATTACTGGGAGCTGGCACCGAAGGAACTTGTAGGACTGGGTTGTGGGATTCTGGGAGCAGTTAGAAAGTGTCACTCATCCCATTGGCCAGAGCCCAGCCCTCACCAATCCAAGAGGCCTGTCCTCAGCCTCAACTGAGGATGGAAAAACGCTCATTCCCTAAGGAAAACACAGAACTGCTGTTATCAGGTTTTTCTCCTTCTTAGCAATTTCAAATATAACAGAACTCTCTGGGTCACCAAGGAAACCAGACCTATCGCAGTAACCTGATTTCACCTGTATAATACGGCTTAGCTCTGAGACTGGAAACGGAGTCCGTAGTTCATTCCACAACTTGCCAAGCCACATATAAGAAGATTTCAACATCGAGGGAATTTCTGTAAAATAACTAAGAACATAAACATTTGACCCAATGGACACCCTTCAAGTCCATCTGCCTTACATAAACCGGCCCGTGTTTGAAAAATGCTTGTTCAAAATTGTCTCAAGAACAGGCACATCAGAAAATCAATCTCACTGGTTTATGGTGCCCACTGAAGAAAATCACACCACTGCAGGGCTGGGAGCCATTGAAGTTTTATTTCCTAACCTCAGTTGGGCTTTCAGCACTGCCTTTCCATTCATTCCGTGTATGTACATATTCACACTAAGCATTCACTCCATTTTTACTCAAGGTGCCTACTAGGTGCTGAACAAAGCCCCTGCTTTCCTGGAGCTCTTGTCCCAGGATCAAGAAAAACAACAATATACACAAGTAAATACATGTGTAAATCATCTCTTTCAGTGACTGATATATACGATGAGGAAAATAAAACAAGTGATGAGGCAGAACTAATGCTTCTTTAGGCAGGTAGAGAAGGCCTCTTCAGTGAAGTGACATTTGGCTGTGGAGGTGAGTGAGGAGAAGGCCCAACAACGCACCCCAAGCAGAAGAGAAACAAGCGCTAAGACCCTGAGGCAGGAACTAACCTGAAGCTTTGGACCAAACAAAAGAAGCCAGAGTGACTGAATCTCATTAACCAAGAGAAAGCGTGGAACTGTACCTGGCAAACTAAGTCTGACTACTTGTACTGTGAGGTCATTGAGAGAGTCATGTTGTATTTTTGTTTTTCTATGCAAAAGTACATCATGACTTTCCCAATAACCCATTAGGAGTCAATTAAATGAAGCAGAGGCTGGAGAAGAATGGCGTTTATTTCTGCAGCTGGGTTACAGGGAGACAGTCACGATTACCACCCAACTATCTTTTTTTTTTTTTTTTTTTTGAGAGGTTTTTGCTATAGGGCATGTGCACTTGCCAGAAAGACAGAGAGGGGGGTGGGCAGCAGTTAGCGTAATGGCTATGTTGCTGGACTCCATGTAGTCGACCACGGTTCGAGTCCCAGACCTGGTGGCTTAAACTCACGCCAGGCGCGTGTGCTTGCATGCCCAAGATCCCAAGAGGAGAATGGAGAAGGGATTGCGGTGTGGCCATCCCCATTGGGGGGTGATTTCTCACTTTTTTTTCTCTCTGTCTCTGTCTTTCTGGTGAGCATAAGCGCCCTATAGCAAAAACCTCTCCAAGAAAAAGAAAGACCGAGAGAGAGACAGAAAGTGAGAAATCACCCCCCCAGTGGGGATGCCACGCCACAATCCCTTCTCCTCTTGGGATCTTGGGCACGTACACATATGTGCCCGGTGTGAGTTTAAGCCACCAGGTCTGGGACTTGAACCTCGGTCGACTACATGGGAGTCCAGCAACGTATCTGTTACACCGCCTGCTGGTTCCCCATCCAGCTATCTTGAAAAGCTCATCATGTGCTCAGTATTCATAGATACGAGATACGAGAATGTGGCTATCATTCCTCATTACTGTCAAAGTTGATTCTTGATCCCTGTTTTTCTTCAAATACCCATTCCTGGTCTCTCATCTGACTACCCCTCAAGCACACCACCTCATGTCAGCACTTGGTCAGACTGTTCTCATCAGAGGCCTTTCTAAATTTCAAAATGGCTGCAGTCCTGCTGGATCTGAAGCTGGACTGAGATTTAGAACCTGAAGAGGTAGATAGGCCAGATTGTGTTGGGTCTCACAGGACAAAGCTTGACATTTGGGTCTTACCACAATAAGAACTATTGGATAGTTTTGGGTAGTGTGATCTGATTTTCATTCTTTAAGATCACTCTGACTGCTGTGTGAAGAAGGACTACAAAGGGA